ATTACTATTATAAGAGTTTGAGTATCTGCTTTTTTCTTTAGAGTTTTCTCTTTCTCTAGAAGAATTTTGATAATAAGATCTGTTATGACTTCAAGAGCGAGACCTTTGGTTATGCCTATCATTTCTTTTATAATTATCTCTTTGGTTAGATCATTATTCAGTTCATCTAATTCTATATTTAGCAATAAAATGTTCTGTATGTCCACAGTAGTTGCAGTAACATGAGTTTTTGGCTTGAGGCCTGTTAAGGTTAGGTGTAGCTGCATAGTTAGTAGATTGGGTTGAGGTGGTTGCTGTTGCTGGGCCAAGTTGATACTAAGTTTGGCAATCTGGTCTGTTAGTTGTTTGATAATTTGGTCTGTTTCTGTAGTAATGTTGGCAGTGATAATAGTAGTATTTAGATCAGCAGATTTGCTGGCTTGCACATTGATAGAAAATTCAAAGTATAGTTTTTAAATAAATAATTGCTTGATGAAGTCAATAAGAAAAGAATCATCAGGATCAACTTATCTCTTTAATTGTCTAAAACAATTGACATAGGCATCTACTGTGTCCGAGTCTTGTTTAATATCAAAAAGCTGTTTCTGCCAAATAGCTTTTTGTTTAGATGTATAGAAGTAAAGCTTAAAAAAATATTTAAAGCTTCTATTTTGCTTGGCATTATCATTAAAAGCATTTGGGGTAGGGTTAAGACTTTGACACCAATTTAATACAATTTCTTTTAAATATACAGGAGTAAGTTTTAATTTTCTAGCAGTATCCTACTTGTTGGCAGTGGCAGCTCTTTGAAAATCTTCGAGTCATTATTCTGAGTCTTGGGTTCCATCATCATAAAAGAAATCAGCTTTCATAAGGGATTTTTCACTTTCATTTAGGATATTGGTAAGGTTAGCCATAGCTTGTATAACATCTTATAAAGCTTATTATACCATATTATTAAGTGGGTCAGAAAGATTATAAAAATAGGTGGAAGTAGAGGAAGAAGTAGAGGTTAAGGTTGAATAACAATAGGTTGAAATTGGACAGTGATAGATTAAGGCTGAATAGGTTAAAGTAGAGGAATAGCAAGTTGAGATGGAGATAAAGAAAGAAAGTTATCTTCAAAAGTTTGTTAAGGTGAGTTAGTATGAGTTGGAGTTGACTAGAGGTTTTGTAAGGTCTACAGAAGCAGTAATATATTCTTCTGTTTCTAAATTATTAGTGAATAGTAGAGGGATTTGTGAAGTCCAATCAGAGGTATAATAATTTTCAGAGAGTTCAGTAGGTGTAACTAATTCACTATATGGAGCTAAACTATCTGCTAGGTCACGTAAGAAAGAAATATTATCAATAAATATAATATCAATAGTAGGTGATAGAATAGAACTTCCTAGATTTTCAAAATGTTGACTAAATTCTCATGGTTCTTCAAAACTAAAACTTAGAAGGACATTGAGATGAAGATCAAAAGTGTTTTGATATTCAAAAACTAAGATAAGAAGTTGGAAGAGGTTGTTATATCTTCTAACTAAAGTTAAAGCAATTATTCTAAGATCACTAATGTCTTGTTGGTATTAATAACTAAAAATAATATCTCTAATGTAGAGGTGAATTGTGATTCAGTTTAGATATGGAGTAATAAGAGTGATAAAGTTGTCCTAGGTTTTGGAAAAATAATATTAAGCTGTAAAGTTAGTTTAGTACCAAGTTCAAAATTATCCAAAATCTGATCAGAGACTAGTAAGTCAAGAGAAATAATACTGGAGACAAAATAAATCTGGATGTTGTGCTTAAAATATGTCTATTGCAAGGTAGGATCCAATCTGATGTACTTGTTAATGGCTTTGAATGTTTTTATTATAGAGTTCAGCAGTAGTGTGAACCATAAAAGAAAATGTATTTCTATATCTGGGATTCTGCTAGGATAACTAATACTTGTCTGAGTCTCTTGTCAGGATAACTAATACTCATCCAGGTCTCTTGTTGAAATAATTAATACTCATTCAGGTCTCTTGTTAGGATATCTTTTTCAATATATTCAGGAATGTTTTATCCAGGGTAACTTGTTTTTCTCTAAAAATTTAACCTTTTCATCAAAAGGCACTAAATGTTATAAGTAAAAGGCTTCTTAATTTCATACTATAATGATGACATGACATAGAAAATTCTTTGCAGTATCCAAAAGGAAAGTATAACTTTTGTTAGATGTTGTTAAGAAACTATATTATTTTTTGAAACAGTTTAAAAAAGATAATACAATACTAATAACTTTATTTTATTTTACTAGAAGGAGATAAACCTTGTCTGTAAGAATTACCTTAGAAGAGGAGTATCAATATAGTTTATAGTCAAAAACTATTTATTGAACTAATAACAAGAAAGGTTATTCTTAGATTTCTGTTTTTAAAGAATCTCAAGATATGTTTATAATATTAAAAGAAAGAGTGTATTTGTTGCTTAATTGTACTTGGGGAATTTAACAGAGTTTATATATCTGTGAGCTAAGCAGCTAAATGACCAAATGACTAAGTGATTAAGTGACTAAGTGACTAAGCATTAAGCAACTAAATGACTAAATGATTAAGTGACAAATTGATTACTAAATGACTAGAAGGTTCTAGTAACTAATGACTAATGATTACTAAATGACTAATTACTAAATAACTAAGTAACTAAACAGCTAAATGACTAAGCAACTAAGTAACTAAGTGATTACTAATCAACCAGAAAGTTCTAACAATTATTATTAATAATAATAATAATACAATAACAGAATAACTAATACTAAATAAAAATAATAATAAAATAATAATAATAGTAATTCATTCTATAACAATATAACAAAATCGAATGAGCAATTTTCATAAGTATAATAACAATAAGCTTACAATTATTAGCAGATTAACCCCAATTGATATGCATATATAATAATTTTCAAAATATTAATATAGTAAAAAGTTATCTTTATTTTTTTGTGCAGATCTAAAATTATTAACAAAAATGGATCTGTGCTGACATTTAGTGGTGTAATTCACAAATCAATCCCTCAAAATAGGCAATAAAACTAGGGGCATAAGTTAAACTGGAAAAAATCAAGTTAAGAATTGTACACATAAAAAAATCAAAGTCAAATTAATAAATAGCAGGTATTCCCAATTAAAATGACAAGGAGATGAGAAACTTCGACACAATAGGAAACTAAATTCATTGTACAGTATGCGACGGCTGATAAATTCATTCAATCAAGTATCGAATATTATCTCATTAAACACCGAATGATGAATAAGCCACGCGTACCAAGATTTAGCATACAGAGTGGTACATACCTTTTAAAGTAAAGTTTGGGGTTGTTACCAAAAGTCACAATGACGGATCACCCAATCATATGTCAAGAATCGCACACATCATTTCACTCTCTCGTAAACCATACTCTATGTACATAGTACACCGTTCTTGGTATAGGAAGAAGATTGTCTGATTGGCTAATAAATTCAATTTAATATTACATTATTTATACAGTTTAGAGTACTTTTTAAAAATACGAAAACCAACCATAATAAAGTAAAAAAAACCATATGGAAGGTTTCTTTAGAGCTGTAGGACTCCATAGCCAAAAATAAGATCTAATTCTTGTCCGTTTAAAAAAGTTAGTATAGTAATAATTTCTCAAAACCCGATAAAATCAACTTATTACTATACTAATTTTTTTAAATAAATGAGAATTAGATCTTATTTTTGACCATGGAGTCCTACAGCTCTAATGAACCTTCTATATAGTTTTTTTTTACTTTATTATAGTTGGTTTTCGTTTTTTTAAAAAGTACTCTAAACTGTATAAATAATATAAAATTAAATTGAATTTATTAGCCAATCAGACGAACTTCTGCCTATGACATAATATCCCCCGTTACGCTCCGGATAATATCCCCGTCACGCTCTGGATAATCAGATGATCTTCCAAATCAACCGAGCCTGCTATACTATTGAGGCTAGCGGTATTATATTGACCATAGCTGCCGCAAAAAAATTGTCACAGCAGATCCTCGCTAAAGACTAATTTCCGGCTGGAATTAACTTTTTAACTTTTTCATTCCAAAACCAGATATTTTTAAAGAAATAGGATCACAATGGTAACATTAGCCCAGGAACAATTTTTACTTAATATGCGGATGTATTTCATTGCTGTTAGTAAAATTTAGGCAAAATTCTTGACCGTCGCTCTTAACCAATTACACCCTATTTTCATAAATTCTGGGGCATCTGGCAAAAAATTTACTGACTGAATATTCGCTGACAAGTTTGTGATTTCGGTGATGAATCTGTAAATATTCGGTCGGACAATTTTTTGTCAGATGTCTCAGAATTTATGAAAACAGCTATAAATTCGAGAATCTGCCGTGACAATTTTGTTTCGGCAGCTATGGTTAATGTGATGTTACCCAAAACTATTTGGGAAGCACCAAATCATGCAATGATTAGTGTTACATTGTTTTGACAATATTATTCATCACGTAGTTTGGAACGTCCCAAATAGTTTGGGTAACATCGTTAATTGAGATCCAAATGTTAGCATCATCCGATTTTAGCATCACCAGTTACATAATTAAAATTTTCAGTCACTTATAATAATTACCTAAAAATAAAGCTGAATCCTATGTTTAATATATCGCCTGATTTTGATAATCTCCCCAATGAACCACCTCATTAGACATACACCCTAATGGACTTTCCTTATCCAAATCATCCAATATTTTTAAATAAGTGAAATTACATACTCCTTAAATTTGGTGTGATAAATGCCATCATTTTTCACGATGCTAATATTGTATATAAGTTATTTCAAGAAAATCACGAGGTAAGGATTATGTATGCATACATTAAGGATATTTATCTGAGATCTTGTAATTTACAGTAAAATATATACTTTATAAAAGCACACGAAAATACCTTTTTCATGGATCTAGTTTAAATTCAAGATAATAAATTAACGCCAACGATTAAAACAACGCATAAATTTTACTATGACTTCGAAAACAGAAATTAATCATGATCAGGAGGTAAAACATAGCTTTTTATATTCCTAATGCAAAATGCTTTCTTACAAATGTCATTATAGATTACTCGCCGACTTGATCTTCCGTATATGAGCGGATTACCTCTAAGATTCTTAGTACCCTTAGTTGAATACGTGCCTGGGCTATCGAGTTATTTTTTTTCGAATATGGGGATAAGTACCTTAAGAAATAAATCATTCAAAGAAGACGCAACTCTTATGCCATTGCCTTTACCAAAAGAATTGTTTGGCATCCAAGAACCAATGGTATTTTGATAACTGACTTGCAATACACTAGCAACTTACAATATAGCTTAATAATTGTTTTATTCACAACAGAAAATCGATGGGTTAGAAATTTTTGGTCATCAAAATAAAGAACATAGTCCAACTCAAGAAATTCAAAAATTTTTATGCGCGCGTGATTATACTGAAGCATACTTAGCCAAAAGGGTTACTCCTTTACAAGTAATGTTAACTAATACTATGTGTCTTAATAATAATAATATAATTTTGCAATAACGTTGCATGATTCAAATGTACTATAAAAAAAAAGGTATGCAAAAAATTAATCGACAATATCAATCAATCATGCTCTGAAGAGTGTGACCCACCTCTTTACGGTAAGTTTAAACAATATATATTTGTTTACTTAAAACACCTAACCACTAGTCAATGAATAATGATATGGCAATTAGGTATTTATCAATATCACCAACATGATATTATGGCACAAGCTGAAGCTTCAACCTCCAGATATAATCAAAATCGGTCTTTGGGACCCCTTGATGGTGTTCCTGTGGCGGTTAAAGACGAGATTGATGTTATAGGTTATGAGACACATGTAGGAACTTCATTCCTTAATCGGGGAAAACCTGCTACAGAAGATGCTTTTTTGATTAAAAAATTAAAGGATCAAGGTGCTATAATAATCGGAAAAACAACCATGCATGAAATTGCATTTGAGTACGTTTATTTAAATAATTTTTTTGTATACCGTCAATGTTATATAATATCTCGGTTTTTTTTCTAAAATAGTATTACAACTAACAATCCGAATACACATACTTGTCATAATCCCTATAATACCGATCATTATTGTGGAGGGTCAAGTGGCGGTAGTGCATGTGTTGTTTCCAGGTTGTTAAAAAAATCATTTTTCAATGCCTTTTTAACGAACATAGATTTGTTAAATTTAATATATTTATTTTTATTCGATAGTGGTTTATGTCCAATCGCAGTAGGTAGTGATGGTGGTGGCTCTATAAGGTAATTAATTATTGAATAACCTTTTGTTGAAAAAGAAGTCAAATAAAGTTGTATTTTTTCTATACTAATTTTGTCTAGAATACCATCCGCATTTTGTGGAATCTATGGATTAAAGCCTACATGCGGAAGGGTTTCTTCAAAAGGAGATTGTAAGTACTATATGATTTCTTAGCAAAGATTTTTATATGTCTTTAAATTTATAATAACAATTCAATTCTCATTTTTTATTATATAGTTCCACTCTTCAATTCCATAGGTAAGAAACTCTGATGTTTATTGTAAATTATGATTTTAATATATGATTTTGATTGTAAAAAAAAGCTAACCTGAATATGACTATTTAGGTGTTGCAGGTCCTATGGCTGCTTGTGTGGATGATTTGGCATTGGCTTATTATGTCATGGCTGGAAAAGATTCTGAGGTTTGTAATTCGACAGCCAAAAATTTTGTACATTTAATAATATTCATATTTGATTTTTATTTTTTATTTTTACTATTAGGATCCAAAAACTTTGCATCAACCGTCACCCACACTTCATGGTCTTTATCATACTAACACATTGTCAGACCTTAAAATTGGTCTATTCTCAGCGTGGAATCGACAAGTGGTCGATCCTGCTATTACTTCTGCACTTCAAACATTCATCAATGAATTGAAATCTCTTGGTGCTAAGTTTATCGAAATTGATATTCCAGAATTAGAAGATGCACGAATAGCTCATCTAATCACTATTGTTTCCGAATTATGCACTACTATGAATGGATACAAAGAGTATTTCCACTTGTTAAACCCTCCTAATAGATTAAACATCGCAACATACAATAATGTGAACGTTTCAGACTACATTAAAGCACAACATGTTCGTACGCGTATGATGCGTAATGTCTCCAATGTATTTTCTGAAGTTAATCTTATTTTAACACCTACCAGTGCTATAACTGCTCCTCCCATCTATCCAAGAGCCTTAAAATATGGTGAAATAAATTCTTTAGTAACCTCTAACGGAATGATGTATGCTCAATTGGCAAATTTTATTGGCATTCCTGCAATTACAGTACCTGCAGGTTATAATGATAAGAATCTTCCTATTGGATTGCAATTTATGGCAAAATGGTATGATGAATCAACATTATTAAGGGTTGCAAAAGTCTCGGAGGAAATATTAGGAAGTAAGAGAAGAAAACCTTCAGAAAAATATTGGTTTGGTGATTTATTGTAAAAAAATTTTTTTAAGGCATTAGGGTTTATAATTTTGTTGAATTATACTTTACAGAAACTTTCAATTTGCAAAATATGTTTAATATATTATAAATTATTATATAATAGTACATATATAATAATATAAATTTACAATTAAATAATTTAAAGAATATTTGGTAAGTTTTTTTATCTTTGATATATATATATTATTTATTTATTTATAAAATAAGCATTATATCCAATAAAGAATTTTATCTTTTTGCACGAATGTCTGAAATGTGCCAGGTTTGTGGCATAACAAAAATTCTCTAAAGTTCGTTAATGATAAGGTTTACGTTTATAAAGTTAATGGTTATAAAGTAAAATCGCTTAGCGGTCACAGGAAATGTACATAATGCAAATCATTATTGGTCAAATGACATGTCTCATCTAATTTTTATATGTAAATCAGCAAAAAAATTCATAAAATAATAAAACAAAAAGTATAATCTTTCTTGGATTTTAAATATTTGTCTTTTGGTTTTAGATATTCTTTTATGTAAAATTTGGATGGTAATTAAAAATAAAATTTAGAAGGATCTTTTATTGTTATTATAATTGGTTTTTCGGTTATGTCCATATTGACACGAGCGAAACGGCGAGTCAGTCGCTTGACAAACGGGTATGTCGTGTAACCTACAAGTCAGGCTTAATCGAAGAGGCGTGTTATATTTGGCGAGTGTATAGTTATAATTGTAGGTATGGTTTTTATTATATAATGAGACAGAGAATGATTATGAGGCGAAATTTATGATAAGCACTAACTGAACTGTTCTTGGAGGGCTCGAAGCCTTTATTATATACTTTCATTTACATAGAACACGTTATATTCTTTATTCGTGATATACCGCTTATATTATGTATAACGTTTATGCTAATTATAGTGATGATAATGTTTATAATGATTATTTTAATTATACTCTTGGTTCCAATTCCCCTTATCCCACTGACATCAATTATCAATCCGATACTAAGTATTGTCGTCTCGGATTTCGGCGAGTCTGTTGCTAAACTAAGGCAACTCTCGTGTAACCTATGGTGGCTAAGTCAAAACAGGCGTGTTAGATTTGGCGAGTGGATATCGTCCGTAGGTAAGTACTGGTCTCTTCTCTTGAGTCTTTCCTTCAATCTACTCTTTTACTAATTCTTATCTTCTTTGTCTCAACTGGAATTTCACTACATCGAATTGGGGTTGGAACTCTTCTATTCTTTGTTATGGTTTACTGGGCACATGACTATGGCGAGCGCTCAATTACAAGTTTGGTTGTTCTTGGGGGTAGCATTAGTATTGGGATTTATCGATAGTTACTGGGTTTTTATGGGACAACATTTTCACTTTAATTATGGGTTGGGTAGGTAGTTTATGTTTCACAATTAGAATCACTGTTCTTTAATCTGGGTGAATTGCTTATTATTTATAATAAACTGTCTTATCTATATACATTATAAACTTGTCTAGTATATTGAACATATTTAATTTATCATATATATTACATATATTACACTTATGTGATATAGGTGATATATCAGACATATCTGATATTTATGACATTTGGAATTTATGACATGTAGTATTGGTCATGTTTTTGGATTTCTCATTTGCTCTCTACTTAGTTTATGCATATCACACATAAACTCTTACTTTTCTTGGTTGTAAAAATAGGAACCCTTTCCTCAAGGATTAAAAACCTTTGAGGTTGATTGAAGCAGAGTAAGTACTAAGTTATTTCTTTGTTTATTTAATTAATGATTCTTTGTTTTATCTCTAATACCAATACTTTTTTTTCTGTTTTAGTTCATTATACAATACAGAAATTATTTCTTTGAGAACAATTTCAATACCTTTATAATAGCTTTCTTTTTTACATTGTTTTGTTATTGGATACATAATTTCAGATGAGTTTTATTATATTTTTTTGAATTTTCTGTTTTTTTTACTAATGATTTAAAATTTTTTATTTTTTTATTTCAATTATCACAAGTATTTCTAAGTTTTTCAAAATCTAACAATTTAAGATTTTGATTTTCTTCATCAAAAATGATTGTCTTTTTATTATTGTTATTATCATTATCATTGTTCAATGCTTGATAGTTATTTTTTTCAACTTAAATTCCATTTTGACAATAAGTTTTAATTTTGAACAAGTCATTTTTCTGTAAGAATTTTTGAATTATTTTTTTATATCCTACTTTTATGTAAGAATTTTATATTCAGTAATTAACAATTGAAGAAGATTATTTAATTGGTTTTTTTTTTCCTCAAAAACAAAGGCAACACTATCAAGAGATTCTTTTATAGATTTATTAGGATCATAGTAGGCATTGTAGTCAGTATCATAGTAATGTGAGGCCTGATAACATGATGAAAGTAAGATGCCAGGACCTCATAAGAGAACAGGTATGATAATCAAATCCTTGATGAGGATATCCTGGCAATTAATTGCATTAATGTGATTAATTAAATAAATCAAGGAAGTGAGATTAATTAGATAAAGGGAATTAATTAGATAAGGGGGATTTATTAAGTAAATGAGTTTAAGTGAATAAATTAGAGGAATTAAATTAAATGGTTTAAAGAGATAAATGTAATTAATAAAGTTATAAGTAAAAAGATATTATAAATAAAGGCCAAAATGGCCCTTGAGAGCAGTACGCTTGGTATACTTCATTTGCTTTATTAAATAATAACTCCCAATACCCTATATAGTATTTAATAAACACTAACACTATTACCATTACAAAACCCTGTAAACTCCTGTAAACAATGTTGTTCAAACCTGTAACCACATGTCTGACCCTACTTGCATTCGATTGACCCAAAGTAACCGAAAGCCTTTCTCGCCTACAAGCCAAATCTAACACCCTCTTTCAAAAAGGTTAATTGTTATATGTTACACAAGGTTTAGAATTTTGGAGTGACAGAGTCGCAATCTTCTGAACCCAACAGTAGGTGTTTATTAGAAGTCAAGTTTAATAGGTGATAGTAATTAAGACTTTGAGTAGTCTTTTAATACAGAAATTATAGAAGTTAATAAAGATAAACTCTTTTTTTTTATTAATGAGATCAGGTAGATATATAGAAATATAACAGGCTTTTTTTGAACCTTTATAGCATAATATTTCCAGGATACAGAACAAAAATAATTGCAAAAAATAGGGTTTTTCTTCTCTTTACATCTTTAAGAATATTTTTTAATACTTTTAATATAAATTTAAGGGCTTGGAATAGTTGTTTATTATTAAAGTAATGATCTTTAAAAATTTTATTAATGATTTTTTAAACATCCTTACCTTGTTTTTTGGTAGGTGTGTCAAAAAGGTCAGTACATCTTATTTGTAAAAGAGTTATATGTAGGTACTTATTAATGACATGACCTCTTATTTTACAATAAAAGCATTATATATTTTATTAAATGCTTCTTCTAGTTGTTTAGAGATTTCATAAGCCTTGTAATGTTTGTATTCTCATTATTTAGGTTTCAACTTGTTTTCAAAATTAGATAAATATATATGACAAGTAAATGTTATATATTTTTCTTGTTTTCTTAAATAAGTATTCTAAAGTTCTGTTGCTTTCTTATTCTTATTCTAATACTAATTTTATCTTTCTATTTTTTTTATTTAATATATTTTTTCTTTATGTTTTTCTATTTTAGAGATTACCTTAATTTTGTATCAAATAGTTATTACTAAATTGTCATCTTACATTTAGATAAGTCTATTATTAAACTAAAATAACTCTTATTTTAGTTATGATAATTAAAATAAAACAGATATATTAGATTTGATGAATAAATTATTGTTTGTAAATCAATACTAGTCTTTTCTTTGGTGTCTTTTTTTAACTCTAATTCTTATTTTTTTTATTTTAACTGGAATTTTACTATGTCAAATTAGAATTAGATCTCTTTTTATTCTTTATTATAGTTTACTAAACATATAATTATAATAAATGCTTAATTATAAGTTTAGTTGTTCTTAAGAAGATAATATTAATATTAGGATTTTTTTAATAGTTACTGAATTTTAATGAAACAATGCTTTTACTTTAATTATAAGTTAGATAAGTAATTTATGTTTTGTAATTAGAATCATTGTCTTTAAACTGAGTAAATGCTTTTTATTTATAATAAACTGTTTTATTTATTTACATTATGAACTTGTTTAATATATCAAATTTATCTAATTTATCATATATATTAATACCATACTTATGCAATATAGGTAATTTATCAGATATATCAGATATATCAAATATATCCAATATATCTGACATTTTTGACATTCAGAATTTATAACATGTAATATCAGTTATGTTTTCAGATCTCACAATATACATCATATACAGTGTATACTGCCAGTAAACCCATTTAAGGTAGGTGATTGACATAACCATTTATTTATTACTGCACCATACCAATTACCTGCTTTAATGATCTTTCAAATCTTCCTCAGCATCATCAGAAAAAATTTTACTGTTATGTAAGATATATCAAAATTCTTTAAGTTCATTTATGCTAGGGTTAAAGCTATGTTAGGATTAGAATTTGGAGGTTTTAATAGTAAAATAGTTCAAGAAAAACTTTTTGTTAATGCGCAGAAGATGGTTTATTATGTAGATTTTGAGTTATAAGCGATTTTAGACTAAACGAACGTTTGTTTTGCATTTTCTGATCACGTAACGTTACACTAAATCATGTTTCGTTATTGGCTCATTTTGTAGATCATCACGTGACAGTAAAAATTGCATAGTAATTTTTCTGGCGATCCTGGGGTAGTTATCGAAATGTGATCCCGGAAGCACGTGGCAGGGATAATCGATGTGGCGCAATAACGCAACTCATACAAACTCATACAGGGGGATCCCCAAAATTCCGGGTCGGAATACATCAGAAGCATGATCGGCAGGGCCGGAATTTTGGGGATCTCCCTGTATGAGTTCAATAACGCAATTAACGGCTATGTCGATCATCTACCTAAAATAGGTTTCCCGGGATTATCGGTCGTAAAAGTCGTTTAGCAATTATAAGGGTAATAGTGGTAATAAGAGAAAACTATAAGAAAAGGGATATATTATATTTAGGGGTTTTAAATAATATAGGACATTAAAAGTGTATACGATAAATAATAAGTTTAATATGTTTAATAGCTGTAGGAGCGCATAAGTAATATAACAGTATATAATAAAGGCTTCGAGCCCTACATGAGAAGTAATTTTCATGCTTGCAATAAATTTGACCCTAATACTTTCCTGCTTTCGCTATATTGTAAAACCTACGATCATAAACACACCACTCTCCAAATCTAAACGCCTCTTATCGAGTAAGCCGTTCGTAGGTTACACGACGTATCCATCTGTCAAGAGACTGACTCGCCGTTTCGCCCGTGTCAATATGAAATTAACGTACCAGCAGGTATCAGGTTCAGTTTTGTCGCGTCACATGATAGTTTTATTTAAATATGCGAACCAAAATTTTCTTTACTAAGGCAATGCAAATAAAATTAATTGATTCTCGTAATATCATATAGCCCAAGAGCATCGATACCCGGACGTTATTGCCATAGAATAAAAAAAAATAGTATATAAAATTTTTAATAAAGCATTTTATTTAAAGCATATATTAATTTATTATATACAAGTATTTAACAGTATTTATCGTTATAGCATTTTATTGTTTTATTAAAAATTTATAGTGATCCGTTATTTATTATATTTTTTCTAATTTTTTAATCTTTCATATACCATCCAACCAAATTGTAGAAATACAGTACTGAATCCTCGACCAATTTTTTGATATTATTTGGTTTATTAATGGAAATAATTCAATTATACTTTCATGCTCAAAAGTTCTAAGGCAGAACTCTTCTATACAGTAATCAATTTCCTATTTCCACATATTTATCCTTGAATGTTCCACCAACAGGACCTATATCAGCTTATCCTTGATAATATCTAAAGGCTTTGTGTTTGTCCTTTTTAACTTCAATTCTATATCAATAATAATGTCAATCATTATGCTGTATATTCCATCAGCAGGGCCCATATATACTAATTCTTGATAATATACAGAAGTTTGGTGTTTGTCCTTTTTAACTCCAATTCCGTATTAACAAATATATTCTATCACTAGAACTTATATCAGCTGATTCTTAATAATATCCGAAGGCCTTGTGTTTTTCCTTTTCAACTCAAATTCCATATCGATAATACAGTCCAACATTATGCTGCATATTCCATCAACAGGCCCCTTTAAGGCCTAGATTTTATCACCAAATTTACCTTAATGTCAGTACCACTCAAATCATCTTTAGACATTACAAATTCCTCAAGATCCTGTCATTCTCCCAGTATGAATTTAAAAATACGACGTTTCGTTTTTACGTCTGGAAGCGGAAAGTCTATCTTTCGGTCAATACTTCCCGGGCGAATCAGAGCAGGATCTAATGATTAAATACGAATTGTTGCCATGATGACCTTTATAAATATAAAAAATCGAATTAATAATTTATTTACATCTTAATATAAGCAGGAAATTCCCACAAGCCAGTTAACCTTGACATCTCCTCTAGAATCAAACCCGTCTAACTGATTCAAAAGTTCTAACATAGTTCTTTGAATTTCTCTTTCACCACCTGAATTGGAATCATATCTACAATTAAATGATGTCGATTTTTTAAAAAATAATAAGAATAATAAATAATAAATAATGATAATTAAAATTATAAATTCAATTAGAATAAGATTCATGTCTATATACCGTTTAGTTCCAATATATGAATTTCATCAATAAATACAATAAAAGGCGCATGTTATTCGGCAACATGAAAAAATTCGCGTACAAGTCTTGGACCATCTCCAAGACATTTTTAAATCAATTCTGAACCCATAACGCACAAGAAAGTTGCGGATGTTTAATTCGCCACGGCCTTAGTCAAAAGTGATTTTCCTGCACATGTAGATACCTTGTTGATAGAAATATTGAATTTACCTGTTCCCGGGACCCATATAGGATAACATCTTTCGGAGGTTCAGTCCCAATTTCTTCATAAATTTCTGGACGTGTTAAGAGTAATTCTACGATTCTTGATTCCTTGAATTTGTTGTTCCAAAACACCAATATCTGCATGTAATTCTGTAGGTGCTTTCTCAAGTTTCATAACACTAACCATTGGATCAGTATTATCTTGAAGTACACCGACAACAGGCATATCTTATTAGGCGTATATGTTAAATAAGTAGACCAATAAAACAACAAATGAAATACGCGGTTTTGTATATACATTATGATGCAACAAAATTGAATATCTACAGATGATAAGATGCTGACATGATATTCTGGTCCTGTAGAAGAAGAAACTACTGCATGATCATCGTCAATGATTTCTTTCAGAGATCCCACACCTATTGGAGAACCACGTAAATCCACCCGGGTTCTTTCTTCCTGGGAATAATCAGCATCATCATTGTCAAAAATACTTTTATGACATAATAAATTATGAAAATTATAATGGTACACGGGTACATACACCCCGTGTACAAATAGTAATAATAATGAAATAGAACTGAAACCTGCTTGTGCTTTTTCTTCTTGTGGTTTTAATCTTTCTCGTTGTTGACAAACTCTACCTCTATCAATAAATAATCGTTTATATATTCCATTTTTAAAAGTTTCAGTCGACACCGGGATTCACGGCTTACATACCGGCAGGTAATTTAGACGTTGCGTCAGGGCCTCTTTTTTTTTTTTTACCAACACGAGTTGGAAGTGGTATTCCCATTTCTTTTTCTTATCTTTATGATTTAGTGCCAAAAGGTGATGACAAAATAAATTGCGCTGAAAGGAATAACAAAAGTATGATGAAACATCATCTTTAGAGTTAGAATTAGGATAAGGAAGTTTATTAGCAGAAGGCAGTTTCTTAGGTAAAATTTTGAGTCATAATGATTTTTTAAAAAGACGTGATTTTTACATTACACCTAATCCTTCAATCTAATTGGCTTTGATCACGTGCCGGAAAATTTTTTGTGAGTGAGTTACGGGGGTAGTGTTAAGGGAAAAGCTACGGGCACAACATTTCATGTGACATCGTCTTATTGACAGAGTGTAGTAGCTCACCCACGAGATAGATCGAAGGATCAAGTGTAATGTAAAATCAAAACAATTGAATTAAGCGAAGTAATAAGCATCATCTTTAGAGATAGGATTAAGGATAAGGAAGGTAATAGCTTTATACTAAAATTTTATGAGGAATTTTTTTATTAAAACGCAGAAGGCGTTTCATAGTGTCAGAGGTAAAACCGACACCTCACAGAACCTGCGAAATGGACATCATTGTGGCATACTTACCTAATTAGAGGTGCCCATGACGATTCATCAGAAACATGTGCGCCCGGCCCCAAAGAAACCATATGAAAGTACACAAGCTTCCATGCGGGACCTCACCCCCTCCAATTAAAGTAAGGTCGACGGGACCAACCTGTTGCGCTGGGAATGGACGTTGACTCCACCTACCTTACTTGGGTTAGGTGTGAGACGATGTCAAGGGGGGTGTGATTGAAGACAATGCGATGGGTTCTGGCCTTGGAATATTAAGACTGAAACATTTCTCATTGGTTCTATGAAAGCCGTGAGAAATGTTAAAGTAACGAAAGGCTGTGTAAAAGGGGTAAAGGTTATAACAAATAAGGTTGGGAGGTGTTAGGAATAACGAGAAGAGTCGTGGTCTTGCGCGGGCTCTTCTCGCGGTCAATTCATTATAAAAATGGTGGAATTTCCCCTTCCAAGAGCTCAGTTAAGCTCAGTATCGTCCAAGAGTTCAGAATCGTACAATAGTTCAGAACCGCCCATAATAATATAATTGTACTGCCCTTACAAAATATTAATCAAGTTAATAAAGTCCTTTTAACTTGTAAAATAAATAAATGCTCCTTTAAAATCGTAATACTCATCTTGTAACGCTCCTCTTCGATCACCTTGACCTGGTGTCAAATAGATAAACCACTTCTATTATCCTTAAGGAACGTTACGCGGCATAACCATTTTTTTAGTGACAATTCATCACATTTGCTCCAACTCTGAACTCGACCATAAAGCCCATCACAATAGATAAAATTTTAAGTTAATAGCAATTTTTTAAAAAGAAGTGATTTTCACATTACATCTGATCCTTCAATTTAATTGGTTATGTTCATGTGTTGTAAAAAATTTCATAGGTGAGCTACAAAGGTTTTATCAGCAAAATAGGATTGATCAATAAGAACCTAAAAAATTAACATGATTTTTATCCAATCAGCATTGTGTAAATCAATTATCTATTTTACTATTAATACATTATATAAATTGATTGTTTACAAATACATAATTTGTGAATTGATTATCTAATGCTTTGCATATTATCATATCACTTTTTAATTTTTATAGTCTGAATAATTCTTTAAATTATAGTGTTAATTTGTTTACTTTTTAGTTTTAAATAAAACTGACAAATATGAATTAAAAAAAAAAAAAATTAAAATAAGAAAGAATAGAATAAAAAAAATGAAGTTTTAATAGATTAATATAAGATAAAGTTGTAATAATTATATAAATTTAAATAAAATAATTTTTTGTGCATAGTATAATGTTTTGCAAAATTAATTTAAAATTTGAATTTGATTTAAATATTTTTAAATTTAATTTAAGTTCAAACTTTAATTTTATTTTTAGCGTATTAGTAATATTTTAACTTATTTAATATTTTAGCTTTAAATAATAATAAATGTAAATTGTAAAAAAATTAAAATTAATTCAAATGAAAAAATATAATATAAAAAATGAAGTTTAAATAAGTTAATATAAGATAAGTTGTAATATTTTAATATAGTATAACTTAAAATATACTATAATTATTATTGATTTTTTTTAATTTTTTTATAACAATAATAATTGTTAATAAAAATTATAATATAAAAGAAAATATTTTTTTAATATTAATTAAAAAATATTAAAATTTAAAGATTGTTATTTTAACTAAAGTAACAGTTCTTGTTATTTTTATATTTAATAAAAAATGATAATTAGTTTAAAAATTATTAAGATCTAATAATTAATAAAAAAATAAAAAAATATTATAAATATTTCTAGTTAATAAAAATAATTTTTAATAATTCTAAATAATATATTGCAAAAATTATAAATAAATATAATTATTTAATATAGTCAAATCTCTATAATTTCTTACTTGTAAGGAAGAAACTTGTTTTTATTTAGAAAAAACAGAATCTAAAAACAAAGAAAAAGAACTAGAAAATACAAACCCATCTACTATAACTTCTCAACCTCAACTTCAACACAACTTTTTATAATTATTAAATAACATCTTTAAACAATCATATACAGATTTTTCAAAACAAGAAAATAAAATATATAAACAACCTAAAATTGACCCATCTATATTTTACAAAAATAATAAACATGAAGCATCTTTTAACAAACAAATCCCCACCTTTCTTTTTGATAAGCTCACAACAGAAATAAAAAAATCTGTTTGCAAAATTAATAATGTCTCAACTAATCTTAAACATTATAACTACTATTTTTATTTATACTTAAATTTATACCAAAATATTGCAGCCCAAAACTATCATATTGACATACTTGACAAACAAAAAGCTGTAAAACTTATTACCTCTAAACCTACAAGCACTGAACTACTAGCAAGAGTTTTAATATTCTTTAACTCTCTTAACAAATTACTAACATATCTACAAATCAATACCTACTATCGAGAAACAGCCTATTCAGAGGCAAACAAAATATTATAAGACAAATTTAAAATGTCTTACTTAATATCCTCCTTAATTGAAGAATCTCTCTTTCTTAAGGAAACACTTTTTCAATAAATCTGTTTTTTACTATTTCTATAGATGCAGCCATCACCTTGCCAAGAAATACATCCCTAGTAGTTAGTAAGAAAAATGATATAAGTGGGTAGGTGATAAAGCCCATTCACATGAAAGACCAAGTTAATGATGGTCAGACACAACATACAGAGTAGATTATGGCAACCTCTACAGCTGTGTAAGCTGAGCTTCAAATAGTGAATGACCCTGTAGAAGACAACTTGACATCTCAAGTTCCTGTTCCTAACATTCAACCTCTTGCAGGAACAAACACATGCTATAACAAATTCCTATTATTATATAATCTACTTACTATATATCATCATATAACATTTGGAGAATTTCTATCTTATCTTCGAAAACATTTCTTTAAACATAGTTTTAAAATATTTATTAATGAAAACAAAACTGAATTGCACATATACACTGACCTTTTAGACTCTATCCTTCATGAACACCACCTTATTTAACCTTTCTAATATGAACTTTACAAGCATTTACCTTTGCTAACAATACCAAATAACACTTTACCCTATACCTACTTATCTTTACTTGACCAACTGTTTTTTGATGACTCATTCTTAGCACCCTCATTTACTAATCTACTATCTATCTTTAATTCTAATCATATAGCTACATTTTCTAGTCCTACTCCAATAATTATATTCAACCTATTTCCTAAATACTAATAGCTGAAACACCTACACCCATCTTATATAAACCACTTTATCTGTCAATATGCACACATAATACACAAGGATATAATGATAACTTAAAACAACAAACATAAGAAGACTATTGTCTATCTCATAATATTCATATTGCTAGCATTACAGAAACCAAAATCTCACAACACAATGCATATGATAAATTTCCAAGATCTCAACACTTTACCTATTATTGGTCATGTATTGATAGTTGTAAAGCTGGAACAACTATTATGATCCAAAAGCATCTTAAACCACATGTCTACAAAACACTCAACCTTCCTGAATATGCTATTGCAATTGACCTGTTTTTTAAACATGACTTTAAATTTCACATTATATCAGTTTATTTATCATGTGATGATCTCCAACTTAGACTTCTTATCCAGAACAATATCATACAATAAATCCAAAAAACAAATACAAACAATATACAACCAATTGTCATGGGTAACTTTAATGTCTCTGACAACCTACAATTATCATCTATTAAACTTAAACTAATTCATTTTCTTCAATATAATAATATGTATGACTTAGCAAAACATATACAAACTTTGTCTCCTACCTGGCATAGTAGCAGATATAGCAGTCAATTGACTATATCTGGGCCAACCACTCTATTATCTGATACTTAACTTTTTATCACACAGATAATGCCAATCAAAATACACTTAGTGATCATAATATACTCATATTATTCTGGGAATTTCTTTATGCAATTATTGATAAATAATGATCAGCAACCAAAACTAAGCATAGAATATTTGTATATAAACAAATGAACCAAGATCTTTGGCAAAACTTCTTTGACCAAGTTACACCCAATCTCAAAAACAATAATGCCCCTTCTATAACTAATACTACAGAATCACTTAATGCCTCTTGACACAAAATTCAAACTAGTATTATCTTAACTACTCTGCAACACATCTCAAATAAAAAATTCATTGTTTGTAACTTTCAACACATCTTTTCTTCCAAGGCATCGAAATTACATTCATGACTTAAAAAACTAGGCAATATCATTAGAAAAGTCAAAGCTTCAATTCAAAACCACAATTCTATATCTGTACTTTACAACCTTGATATTTATCAACTCAACTCTCTTCATCATCTCAATATACCTGAACTGTCTCACGATTCTAATCTTTTATCTGACTAAATATCTGCAACTAACACTAAATGGA